CCCGCGCTTCTCCCTTTTATCCACTCCCCCCCCAGCCTGTACTTGTGCTTAGGATTGCCCCAACCCAGGTGCAGTACCTTGCACTTGGCCTTGTTGAACTCCATGAGGTTGGCAGTGGCCCACCTCTCCAGGTCCCTCTGATGGCATCTCTTCCCTCGAGCATGTTGACCACGCCACACAGCTTGGTGTTATTGGCAAACTTGCTGAGGGTGCACTCAATGCCACCATCCATGTCACTGACAAAGATGTTGAACAGTGCTGGTCCCAACACCGACCCCTGAGGAATGCCACTCATCACTGGTCTCCACTCGGATATTGAGCCTTTGACCACAACTCTTTGAGTGCGACCATCCAGACAATTCCTTATCCACTGAGTTGTCCATCCATCAAATCCATGACTCTCCAATTTAGAGACAAGGATGTTGTGCGGGACAGTGTCAGATGCTTGGCACAAGTCCAGGAAGATGACATCAGCTGCTCTTCCCTTACCCACCAATGATGTAACCCAGTCATAGAAGGCCATCAAATTTGTCAGGCACGATCTGACTTTAATGAAGCCATGTTGGCTGTCACCAAACATTTCCTTAGTTTTCATGTGCCTTATCATAGTTTCCAGAAGGATCTGCTACATAATCTTGCCAGGCACAGAGGTGAGGCTGACTGGCTGCAGTTCCCCAAATCACAGAATCACAGAATGGTTTGGGTTGGAAGGGACCTTAAAGATCATCCAGTTCCAACCCCCCTGCCATGGGCAGGGACACCTTCCACTAGACCAGGTTGCTCCAAGCCACATCCAGCCTGGCCTTGAAGACATCCAGGGATGGGGCATGCACAGCTTCTCTGGGCAACCTGTTCCAGTGCATCACCACCCTCTCCGTGAAGAACTTCTTCCTTCTTGTGCCCAGCTGTTGCCAAACTGTAATGCTGCCAATTGAAAAGACCGCTGAAACCTAATTCAGTACCCCATATTTTTCTTAGTAAAAAGACACCATTACCAATAGAATGCCTAAAGTGACTGTTGGTGGCTATAATAAAAGCATCTAGGGACTTGATCTGCTTCACTAACCTGAAAGAACATGACAGTGAACTAAAAACCCATCATGAGCAGACAAGCAAAACTGAGTAATGGCTTGGCATACATACACAAGTTGCATCTGTGATTGTCAACATCCAGAAAACACAGTAGTTGTTGAGGATTCATCTGGCTGGGAACCTAGCCAATATGTCCTATTCCTGATTCCAGAAAACACTTCCTTTTTTTTTCATCTCTCAAAAAGAGACCACTATTCAAATTTTAAGTGGGTTATTGGTATACTTGATTCAGTTCTAAATCCAGAGTTTTAATTTGAAATGAACAACACCTGGATTTGCACACACTCAAATACAAGGGAATCATTGCTGCAGATAATTTTGGTTGTATTTTCATAATACAGGGGCTTCTGCTGTAGTAAAGGCTTAAGGAATTCACATATTCTCCCACTCCAGCTGCACATGCTCAACCTCACAATTTTGCACATGCTGCTCTTAAGTTTCCAAAGGTTATCATTGAAATCTGCATCAACTCACTGATCTTCTTTAGTAATACTTTTTACCTCCAGTGATTAGCACTACTCAGTGGGTAGTACAGGAGTATCACAAAAGAGGAAAGGGGAAGTTCCTGAGCTAGCAATACTGAAGCTACAGTTATTGGGAAAAAACAAAGGCAGTTCACAGTTATAAATGGTACTTCACAGACCATGTATCTAGTATTTTTTTTTTTTTAGCTGATAAGAAATCTCAGTATAAGATTGCAAGGGAGCAACCGAGAGTAGAAAGAAAAAGAGCAAAGAAAAGAAACCTGGTAATACTATAAAAAGCCTAAAGATTACTAACCACTCCAGAAATAGCTCACGTCAAAATTCTGGCTCCACATTCTTTCTCATCCTCTTACTAAAAAGTAGTTTCATAAGAGCATTAAAAACATTCATTATACTTAATTCCCCGCAAGATTTAAAGTGAAAGAAAATAAAACAACAATGATACAATATACTCAAGATGTACTTCATGAGACTGGTAATACATGCCTTGGGCAGCTGAAGTTCTTCAGCCTTTGGCCTGCTGCTACACAGCACACCCAAGGCATATATTAATGGCCCCATAAAAACATACCCTGTAATGACTTGCGCTTAAATAAACATACTTGTCTTTCTCTTTTCCTCCTCCGAATATTGGATGCAGTAAAACTCCACCAGTCTTCAGTTCATATGCCACTATTTGATCCAACTCCTAAAAAGTACAACGTACGTAAGCAAGCACAATTTTGAAAAACAGAGAAATTATTTAAAGACGACAGGAAAGCTTTTCCTATCACTGTTCAAGCCATACCTCCTAATTAAACCTGTTTACAAACACAAAGAGCATTTTAAAATCAGGAATGTTCCTCAGTATGGCAAACAATAACAAACCAGTAGAAATTAGCAGTTAATACTTGTGCTGGATGTGGGTCAACCCACAACAGTATTTAACTATAATATATTTAAGAATAGGTAAGTTGTCTCAGACCAAAAGAAATAAAGGTGATCCCCATTTCCTTGCAGTGGAAAGTAATACTGGGTATACCTACAGAATAGAGTATAGCATATAGAGGCTCATCTTGATCTATGCCCAAGCCAGACAGAAGCCAGCTCTGAACTGGAATGTAGTCTAAATTTGTGTGGTACGTGCCCATGTTAACAAGCACACTTCAAGGCAGGATGTTTGCATGGGCTCACTATCACCCAGCGGTCAACGTGGCTTTTGGATCAAATCAGGTCAGCTTGAGCACAGGGAGAGTGATGCCTGTCTGCAACCCAATGTTAGTCAAGGAATTCTCAAATGCTGATATGTATTGGTAGTCATTGATTCACGTCTACTTACACACTTTCATATACTGATCATCCAACTCAGAGGCAGCAAGGGCAGAACCAGAGGCTGACAGCAGCACCTCTCAGTTCAATGTGGAAGCACTTAGCCAACCCATAGGGAAGATCATGAGTAACTAAGAAGCAACTTCTGTTGCACACAGGAGTGAACTCTCAAATAGACCTTTATCCAGTTCTGCTGTTCTACACAGAACCCTCACCTTTAGCACAGACATCACAGGACTGGCAAGCTGAATGTACATTAGGCAAGTAAAGATATGGTATTGAATGCCCATGTGCGCAGGGGATGTAAACAGAGCCCATGGGGTTAGGAATCTAGTTTTTGGAAAAGGAAGGGTAAGAGAATGTGATGAGGAGGAAAGGAAGGAGATATACATCTTTCTGAGAATGAACATCACTGGCAAAGAATGAAAAGTCACTGCTGCTATCACTACAAAGTACCTGTCTGAGGGCATTATATCTGGAAATGTAAGGTATAGACAGAAATTTGTTTTCCAAGAAAGGAAATTCTTTCAACAGGGATTTTTTCACTGTTTCATTATTTCATTTAGGACTTACACAATACTAAGAGATACCTGATCCACTACTGATCCAAGCTAACACCGTATCCCTTCTGAGCTATATGGATAGCCATCACAGTATAACAAATTAACCAAATATCTCCTTATGAATCCGATATTCTATTTTAAGTATTTAAAAAGTTACCATCTTCTTTGAATTTTCTTTCTGGTTTTGTGCAAAAGCTCACACAAAAGAGGAAAACTACTTTCACGGAGAGACAATGAAAATTATTACTCCTAAGTGTTGTCACAGAAAAGTATTTTGGTTAATGTGATTGGTGTTTTTTTCTTTCAACAAGTGGTAAAAGTAAGTACTTTAGCTCTACGTTACTAAACACTTCCTTAGATTGCAGTGCAAAACTATGTTATATTCTGGCTTTATATTGCATCTTCCTTAATGTAAAATACCTGAAAGATACAGAAAATACTACTATTACGTTATTACCTGTTTAATCCAGTGGCGGTACTCATTAACACCAAAGGTTTTTTTCATCCAAAGGCCATAAATATAACCAGATATTCCCTTTAGCACCCATTCATCTGACCTATAATAAAAAAGAAGCATGAATTATAGCACTTCAGAAGGTACTTCGTAAGGAGTGGTATTTTTGACCAGCTCAAAATAGCCACAGATTTCAGCAGGTTATATAACTTCTCTAAGTCAATAGGAGTCTGATGAGCTGTGAACCAATTTATGTAACTTGGCACCTGGACGGGACCCATGAAACTGAAAAGCCAGTGAAAACTGAACTTTTACCACAGAAGCCCAGATTGAAATTTAAAATCGAACTATTTTAGCTGAAACAGTAACAATAAAGCACAGGAAATGGACACTAAAGTTAAAACAACTGCTAATCTACATGTTCTTAATTTCTTGATAAACACCTCAATGCAATGCAAAAGATATGGAGAGGAACTACACAAAATATCGACCTCACAACTTGGTGGACACCCATTTAAGACCTCTTTTGAGAGTCATGCTCTAAGAGGGAAAAATATGAACAAAAACTACAAAATTATCATGAAACAGAATTCTAAATGTACGAACATAGAGAGTATGATGGAGTGAATAAAATAAAGACACAAACAAAGGAAGTCATGAGAGAGGAAAAAGTTGTCCTCGCAATGGAAGTAGACTAGAAATAAGGAAGAGAGCAATAGACATTATATTGCAACATCCATCTAAAAAGATGTTGGTTTTTTTTTTTGATGCCAATGATACTCTGCGAAATACACTTTTGCCATAAAAAGGTAATGGAGTCTTGTCCCTCATATATAAAGTGTATGCAAAAAGCTTTAAAATAAACACTAATCAAAACTGCAAAAGCCAGCTGGCAGAGATTTTCTGCGGGATGGAGTCATACACAGCTTATCGCCCCAACAAATTTGCCCATTTGACACCGATTTCTCCATTCCCCTCCCTGAACTTCTTTGGAATTTATTAGTTCTGTGCTCCACAAGTACTTCTTATGCAGGCAACCCTTCTACATTCAAAATAGCTGACAGGAATTTACTGATGACTAGAGTCTCCTCCCTAAATTTCCAGGTGCCAAAGCACACTACAACATTCAGTGACAATTTCTGAGAGAAGACATGTTGGTAAAACGCAACATGCAAATTAAATTTTAGGCTTTCTAGATGTTCCGCATTTTCTAGAGAGTACAACCATAAAATACTCACCAGGACATTCTGGATATAAAACATCCAAAGAACTGCTGGGCCAGAGCCTGTGCTAAGCACCTCCTTGTCAGTGGAGTTTCATCTATAATCATTGCGCTGTGTAAGAGATTTGTGCTGGACCCCCATAAAAAGAAAATAACACAATATGAGCATAAGCTCCAAAGAAACATAAGAGACCTTGCTTTAAAAGCCAAACCAAACAAAGTAATTCCTTCACTGTTTTTTCAGTGAGACAGTATCATAGACTACATAGATAGAAACATCCTTCTTATAACACCCTTAATCCAGGCACATCTCCTGCTATTGCCTTTTATATACAACTCCCTGTGTAGAGCCAAAGTAGTTTCTTTTGACTGGTGAAACTCTATTGGACCCCTCGTACTCTATCCCAGCTGAAGAAAAATAAAACATAATCAAACTTCTGCACTTAATTTGATCTTAAATATTGCGTGCATGGAGTTTCTAATTCAGAAAGAAAACCTCTGCCAATTTTTTCTTAAAGAAGATACAAATCCAGCATCTTGATAACAGATAAAATTGGAAATGGTGTTAAAAGCCTGTAATGTCAACACAAGCCAGGCTTTTCAAACTAGAGAGCCCAAAACTCAGGTTTTAAAAATAATAAGTGTCATGCATTTCTCAACAGTCTTAGACCTAGAGCTTCTAAGTCCATGGATTTAGAAGGTGTAATTTTCTCAAATACTAACCTGAAAATACTCATGGATGCATAAGCAGCTACTTCAACATAAGCTTCATCTATAAAAACAGTCTTGAAACAGGAGTATGGATAGCGGCAGGTAAGAATCTCCTCATAGAATTCAAACACCTCATGCAGGTATGACGTGGTATGTTTGAGCAATGGGAGAAGTTGCGGTAAGCAAAAGTGAGTCACCTAGAAAGGAAAATTTGGTACAAGATTGCTGAAAATATTTGGATCCATAAATATAAATGTATTACATAACAGAAAAAGAATCCCACAATACAACAGAAATAGAACTGCTGTAAATTTAACAGAAAAAAAGTATTTTCAAGCTGTGATAATGACTATCGCTGTAGGAAAGCACACCAGGATGTCTCCCTTAATTATGAGACCAGCAACAGGAAAACAATTTTTAGCAGAATATGCACAGTAACAGTGTCTACCTAGTGATATCTATAATTTAAAAACACATGAAATTTTTCTTCAGTTTTGCAATACGAAATCTTCTGGAGATAATACTTTATGCAGTAAAGAATTAGTTATTTTCAAAAAACTAATAACAAACAGGTTGCCCAGAGAAGCTGTGGATGCCCCATCCCTGGATGTCTTCAAGGCCAGGCTGGATGTGGCTTTGAGCAACCTGGTCTAGTGGAAGGTGTCCCTGCCCATGGCAGGGGGGTTGGAACTAGATGATCTTTAAGGTCCCTTCCAACCCAAACCATTCTGTGATTCTATGATTCATTCTATGAAATCACTCAAGCAGTGTTACTGTTTAGAAGATCTCTTATAGGTAAAACTGTAAGTAATCTTTGATATGACTGTTTTTTCTACAAACTTATGATGCAGCCCATGACACTGACTTCAGCAGGGACAGAGCAGTAAAAATCCACAGAATACCATTGCTGAGGACTAAAATCTGATGTTTGCCTTTGGATCAAGTAAAACATAGCTATTTCCCAGTATTTTCCTATCATGATTTCAAAAAAAAGAATATACAGGCCAGTCTTCATGCAGAACCGGTAACTTATTCTGTCTGCTAAGTCCATCCTTACCCAGTCTGAAACTACAGATGTAAATACAAACTGTTGGACTTCAACATTATGGCAACAATCTATTAAGAAAGAAAACCCAATGTCAAATTTAGTTCAGAAGACTACTCAGTTGTGTAGCACTAAGTTTCATCTACTACCAGCAACAGGATGGGTTTAAAGTTATTTTGAGAAATATGCTGTTACCAAGCCCAACTAAATTAGCCCCATAAATTCAGGCATAAATGGAGTTATTGCTCATTCAAAGGCTTTACTTTGGAGATAAATTTAAATATAGGTATTACTAGACAAGTTTTACTCTATAACTGTACTAATGGAGGCTGTTGTCTAGACATAACCATATTTGACCAATATATACTGGTTGCAACATAAAAAATAGTTGTTAGTTCTTTAAAAAAAGGCCTCTATAAAGATTATTACCTCATGCATGTATGGATCAACAAGGATTTCAAAAGGTCCTATCGCCAAGGAGATGTTAGAAGCTGCAGTTGGAATAGTCAGCATGTAATGAAAAGTCTTCTTTCTCATATCATGCGTATATACAGTTTCCACCAAATCTCCGTTTGAAACAGCCACCATTGCAGCATCTACAGTATACTCAAGTTTCCAGGTACACAACTCGGAATATGAATCAACACAAGGAAACCAAAATCTAGGAAAGTTAGGATTGGGAGAAAAATGGTTAACAATTATACTCTTTTTCACAGACTATTTTTCTCTCAAGTTCCAAACTATCCTAAGTACCCTGAATGCTGACATATTGACTGCTACTCTACATTAATTTTATAAAGCACCACAAGTTTCTTTGCCACTAACTCCGCTGAGCTAGAAAGACTAGAAATCCTAATTACTAATCATTAGATGCTACTTCACATCAGTAAGCTCCTTTCAAACATAAAGCAAGTTTCTGAATTCTTGTAAATTTGAAAAATACTAAGACATTATGTGTATTTCCTTCACCTTGAGATTAACAGTTTAAAATTCAAAGAGAGTTCTTCTTACCTTGTAGAATTTTGATAACCACATGAAAAGACATGAGCCCCTCTTTCTGCCATGCTGCCCTCCATGCTGGGTACCACAAAATGAAGGCCTCCTTTGGGCTGGTCCAGAGAAAAGTTTATATGCACCTTCAGGACTTTCAACTCTGCAGCACCAAGACCAAAATTAGAGTAAATATATGCACTTACTTGAAAGTTATTTCAGAATAATCATTCCGTTTTGAACTCTTGGTCTTTCAAGATTATGTGTTTACTTCATTCTCATGGACCTCCAGGTCCACTTACAAAGCACAGCTCAAAAGCTTAAAAACTGAGGCCTCTTAAGCTTTAACTTACAGGATATGAGTTTATAGGAATCTTTATTAATTAATAAAAACTGCAATTGGAGTTACATTTCATCTTCCAACTCCCCAGTAGTAAAGAATCTTCATACAGTAATTGTACCCTAACCATGTTCTCTTGCTGAAATAATTTTCTTCAAAAACTGCATGTAACAGGCACATTCTTATAAAGCCATGATATTGTCATCTGCAGTCTCTTAAAACCTCTTATTATAGTTAAAGCTTCTCCTGTAACTGAAGTGTCTTTGCTTTAGTTTAGTTTCACAGAAATCTCACCTATGAATAGGCTGGCAAGAACAGAAATTCAGGCATGTGGTGAAACTCATCAACAAGTCTCACCATATGTTGGCATTCAAACTTTGAAAAGAAAAATTATACCTGTTTGACTATTTTCCCTTCTGGGTTTGCAAGCAACACAACAGGAACTTAAACAAAATTTAAAATAAACAAAAAGTGCCTTTCCCATTCAGGTGTATTTGACAACACTGTCTGAGTCAGCTTCATGATAGAGTTGTTTTCTCTCTCACAGGTCTCACAGATTGACAGGAAAAACTGATAAAACCATGGAAGAAAACTAAATAAAAATTAAAACCAATACAAAAAAACTAATAAAATCCATGTAAGAAAATAATCAGTGTTGGAGGGTAATTTATTAAAAAGTTACTTGTTCCAGGATCTAGTACAGTCTACTTTTCACTATTGAATCAGCTTTAAACCAACCATTCTTCAAAGTGAGATGGGAAAAAATGAAAATAGCTTGTAAAATAACACATATATAGGCACATCCTTGTAAATTCTTTTCTTTGATAGCTCATGTATATTGCAAGCAGCTTCAAACAGTTGTAATTTAGCACTCAACATAATTACACCATTACACCCACATCCTCATGTAGAGTTCTGGGCTCGTGACCACCCAAGTGTTTGCAAAGGGTGTTGAGAACCCTGCACCACTCACTCCTCCACATTACCAAGAAGGGTGAAGGGATTTTTTCAGATTTCAACTGGAAAGATGCAGGTGAGGAAAAAGGAAACAGTAACCACCATTTCATAATATAATGCTATTTCTGTTTATTTAAATCTCCTATCTTTCAATGCAAACTCATAGCTGACAACTCTATGGCATCGTACATAAAGCTTTTAGTACGGCCTCTTTACCATCAACATGTTTCCACAACTCTGAAGGAACCTTTATGCAGAGTTCTCCGTTTCCAGCATCTGGGTCCACAGCACTGACTGCAGCAGCATAGGCATTGGAAAAATAGTTGAGATTCCTCCTGTCAGAAATACCCAGTTAATTCTTAAAGTACATGATGAACTACAAAAAACCCCACTTTAGAAGCTATAGGATTGCTATATTGAATTTCAGCATGCATATACAAGCAAGTATTTAGTTGTGGTTTTAACAGAGTGAAGGGAAAAAGGAGTAAAGTTTAGACTTCAATAATCAGAATTTACAACTAAGCTTTTATAGAAGTGATCCATGATCAAAAGGAGTTAAGCAGTAACAATCCCCAGTAAATTGAGAAATGCCACTTTACTGCCCAGTAAGAATAGTATTTTTGCTTATTGGAATAGCAAGTAGTGAGTCTTGGAAAATTTTGGATTATGTTTGTGTGTTTATTCTAAAGATCTGCCTCCTCATATACTAGAGTTCTGGGTTTATGTTGCATTTCCAAATACAGTAAGATTTTAGCTTGGCAATGGTAGTTTTCCCCTCTTAACTTGATGGATAGGAATAGTTTTATTTTATTTCCTTTTAAATATCACATAAAATACTAGCTGCTAAAGTTCTGGCTTTAATACACTAAACCACAGAAATATGTATTATGCTTTTTAGTCCCTAGAAATAATTTTGAAAAAATGTTACCATCATGCGTTTATTTAGGATGCAGACAGAAATGTCTAATTAGGCCTGAGCTGTTCAAGCTACTACATAGCAGCTGCTAACTGACTGCACATTTCATTCCAAAGTAATACCATCACTTCAGTTGTGGCTTAGATCAACCGTTTTCTACTGAGATGTACAGGAACATGCAAGTCTGTCTGCTGTTACAGCAGTTATGAGCAGGATGTTATCTTCTTATTATTGAATATGATCATGCTCACATACTGCAGGACTGACCAGTCAGGTTCAAAAATAACCTTGGTTTTCCATCTTTACACTACAGCTTTTATACCTTTTCAAGATGGATTTTAAATCCTGTAAAACATGGAAGCAATAACTTTCTTAATTCTAATCCTCTAGTATACAGAGTTCTTCAAAAGCTTTGCACAATTCTACACCTGAAGAGAAAGTGTTTGAATTACTGATCACCTTTTTCCCCAGAATTTCAAGCATTCAGGCATGTACCAATGATGCATCCAACCACTACGGATGTAAAAGCATAAAGCTAACTGCAGACTTACTGCACCACAATGGAGTAAATTAGATTTTGGCTGTGGACTCTACTCTGCCATGGAATCTGAAGTCCACACAAATCAGACATGATCTCATTTCAGGATTTCAGTTTCATCTAACCATTCTCTATTCACCACCCACAGAGAAAACAGCATTCAAACCAAATTACAGTACCTTACACTTGGAATAATGAAGGATAATTACCCATGCCAGGATTACCCTGTAAGTCTAGGTATGTCAGACACCACGCTTATATTTCTAACCTAAAAAAATTTTACTAAAACACTGAAATATATTAAGAACATATTTTCATACAGTTCTTGATCTCTGGCAATAATAGTGCATAAATTCTCTGGCACCAGTACCAAGACAGAGAATGTTAGGAGCAGTAAAGTTGTCTACTTTGCTTGGAAGCTACTGCAAATAGGACGTGAATAGTGAATAGGAGCTTATGAGCCCAGAAACCCCCAAATCCTGAGTTTTGATACATAATCATTTCTTCCTTTTTCATAATTGAAGTCTACCTAAAGATAGGATATAATGCCAGCAAGTTTTAAAAGCACAAGGTTGAATCTCTACACTGGAATATGTAACTTCAGCTATGGTCCCAGAACAACTCAAATCAGTTTCAACTCCAGCTGTCTGCTAGCCTCAGCCACACATTCCTGTTCCCTCGCTCAGCATGGAGGCTACTGTTCACCCAACCCTGTGGAGATACAGCAGAAGTGCTAAACTGGGAAAAAAGTGTCTATTTTTCTGCAGTCAGCTTTCAGTTGCTTTAGCTCCCTGATCATACATACTGAGGGGTCCAAGAAGTGCTACAACCAAGGCATGGGAGGCTGTCAATGGGATCACAACTAGCCCAACCAACGCTGTGCTGCCTTCAAATGGCATCCTAGGAAGGCAAATAAATACCATTGGAAAAACTCTCTTCCAAAAAAATACTGCATGACAAAATACTATCTTTGTAAGTAAAGAAACTAGCAACAGAAAGCAACAGTAACGTTCTGTCAGACTGTGAAGTCTCAATGTTTTTAACTTTAATCTGCATTGGGTCTGGCTGGGATGGAGTTAACTTTCCCCACAGCAGCCCTCACAGTGCTGTGCTTTGTAGCTAGGGCGGTGTTGAGAACACACCAGTGTTTGGGCTGTCGCTGAGCAGTGCTGCCACAGCATCAAGGCTGCCTCTGGAACATCCCCCCTCACCAGTAGGCTGGGGGTGGGCAAGATCCTGGGAGGGGACACAGCCAGGACAGCTGGCCCAAACTGACCAAAGGGTTATTCCACACCATATGATGTCTGCTCAGCAATCAAAGCTAGGAGAAAGGTGGTGGTTGGGGGGAACATTTGTTATTATGACATTTGTCTTCCAGAGCAACCGCTATGCATACTGAAGCCATACTTCCCGGGAAGTGGCCGGCAATCGCCTGCTGATGGGAAGTAGTGAGAAAACCTTTTGCTTTCCTTCCCTTCCGCACGTGGCCATTGCTTTTGCTTTATTAACCTGCCTTTATCTTGACCCACAATGGGTTTTTTCATCTTATTTTCTCCCCACCCTGTCCTGCTGAGGAAGGGAATGACAGAGCAGCTGGGTGGCCACCTCACATCCAGCCAAGGTCAACCCACCATATAATCTAAACCGGCTCTGAAAATTCACCACTTCTGACAGGGGATTCCTTTCCAATACAACAGCAAGATTTTTTTTTTTTTCCCAAGGTTGAGGATCATGATGAGCTTGTGGTTACATTTTAAACACCAAGCGACTCATAGACAGGAAAAAGTTCTGATTTTACCACAAGAAAGGTAGACTCCACAGGGCTTAACATTTTATGGAAAACAGTCTATTCTGATAGTTCTATTTTTGTCAAGTGTTCCAATTCAAATGGGTGATTCATTGTAAAAGGAATCTATTAAAGGTTTAGTACCACAGCTAATTTTTTCATAGGTTGAACTCTTCTCAATAAACTGGGTATGGCCATTTTAACAACAACAGAGCACATGCCAAAAGTTACAGCCCAAGGAACAAAGATAAATTTTCCTAAGGCTAAGTGTAGATTGACAATGAAAAGTCATATGCATTCATGTTTTTTCCTGGTAGAGATACATTTTATTATCAGAATTCACCCAAAACACTGGTAATTACAGTTCAAGTACATGCTTGTTGACTGACTGGAAACAAGCAATCCTTCAGCGACTTACTTTCTTAAAGCTACTCATTGACTCCAAATACCTCCATGGCAACTTCCCAGAGCATCTCTCACTACCAGCTGCAGTGCTGCTACTTAACTGCTACTTAACACAGACCAAACATATAGTCCACAAATCACTGTCTTCCTACAGTATTTAACATCACCTTGGCAAAATAAGTTCTTCGATCCACATGTATGTAATACATCATTCTTCATTACCTGTAATTCATTTACTATTCTACTTTGCTTCCCAGTTACAATTAGCATTTGATTTTGGAGTCCAAAACCGAAGTATGTGTTATAACATGTATACATATATATAAAATGTGCAATATATAATATGTACGCATATATGTAATTTATTAATAAGGCAACAATTTGAATCTTTGGTATGCTGAAAAATCTGATTTTCATTCTTGTCCAAGGGCTTTGCCATCTCCTTCTTTAAAAGTTCTTGACACCTCTATTTATAACAAAATCTATCATTAAGTTACAACTATATAAGCATCAAACCAGTGGAAACGAAAGCGATTTATTGCAGCAAAACAACATGTGCTCTCTTCACCAGTATTTTTAATGTTTTGTGCATAGGCTAAAGGCTTGATCACTGACTTCTCAGAAGAGAGAATACTTCAACACATGCCCTGAAGGCTATGACATTGCCACTCACTCACAGCTTACTGCTGCTTGTAACTAAAGCAATAGTGAAGCTGGAAGATACCAAAACACATGAGGATGTTTAATGCTTAAAAACTACAGGCTTCAAGCTGAAGTAGTTAATGAACAGGTAGACGCTGCCGAGGGTTAAAATCCCACCGACTAGTGTACCTTTGCACAGGAAAGCATTACGTGCACATTAGCTAGCTATACAAAAAACATCTTCCGTTACACAGAAACAATAAAATGCAATGGCTTCTCAACCTTGCACCACAGTTACCACACAAACATGCAAAGCACATAAACAGGCAACAGCAGGATCATCACACACTCCCCTTATCACGAATCAAACAACTGCATCCAACTCCAAACTTCTGTGGCAGCTATGTAACAGTTTACAACCTTATCTACAGGATTAAGAAAACACAGATCTCCTTTGCCTGTTTTAACATAAACGAGGCTGAGATACAAGCAGTTGTCCCAGGAGTCAGAATACATGCTATGGAATTTCTGCAATGCTATAGCCCAGAAAAATAAATCCCACTTCCCTTATACTGACAGAATCTAGAAAGCAACCATTTTCAAGAAAGCAACAATTTACAAGGAAAAGCAGGAAGGGAGGACAGAGGCGGTTCTAACACTCAACAAGCGCCCTAAGACAAGACCCAAACAGACATTCTCATAGAATGGTTTGGGCTGGAAGGGACCTTAAAGACCGTCTAGTTCCAACCCCCTGCGATGGGCAGGGACACCTTCCACTAGACCAGGTTGCTCAAAGCCTCATCCAGCCTGGCCTTGAACACTTCCAGGGATGGGGCATCCACAGCTTCT